TCTCTGCTGTCTTCCATTGTCTTTTTGATGCTGTTTTTGCTTTAATGATTTCTAATAAAACCTGGAGGATTAAATTACTGTCAGCTGGATTCCATTCACTTAAAAGCTGAAGCAATGATTTCACAAGGTTTCATTTATTTCATTGTTAAAGGGGAATGAAAATGAATGCATACTGTTATTATCAGATTTTATTACAATACAAAAGGATGTGCACCATTCTGATACTTGTTTGTTGCCCTCCCCGGTTGGGGTGGCAAATTTATTTTTAATCATATATTATTTGGACTGTTATATATTGTTTATGAACACACGCTCTACTAACTGTGTGTTAGAACAATAAATGAAAGAGTGATTCCAGCTCAAATCATGGTCAAACAGATAATTCTGCACATACATGGAATAAATTCAGTACAACTTCTGTTCAAAATATGAGTTTATTAACAAAAATCATTCAGCTCCAACTCAAACATATTTCAGTTAATTTGCAGTAAGTAAGATAAAACTTTCCACTTCTCCATTAAAGTGCTATAAAGCAACTCTACTAAGCAAATTTGTCATTTTCTGATAGAAAATAGCCAGCAAATTAAGATTACTGAGACATAAAGAGAGATTCTTTTTCTATGTGGTTAATGCATCTGGGCAGCCGCGTTGATCTCAGCAAAGCCTCGGACACTACATCCCTCCCCTACCTCTCAGGCTCTGTTGGTCTAAAACAGTTTTCTGTCTTTTTTGTTCATACTACAAAAGTGTTTGGATGATAATTGCTGCAAGGTCCGCAAACCATCTGTCTGCGCATCGAAAAAGTGAAAATAGGCTCAGGCTCAGATATAATTGCTTCTTAGTTTCCAAATTATGGGAACTAAGAAGCAAGTTTCAACTAAAACTCCAATTTATGCTTATTTCTGTTTAAAGACTGGTGTGTACTTTGTTTTTTGGAAAAGAAATATCTAAACAAAAACAAAGAGCTGTTTGCTTTTTATTTATTGCCAGAAAGAAACAGGTAAATTGATTATAAATAAGAGTAAAACAGTGAAAAGTTGTTAAGGCTCAATCAAATGGCTTTCATACTAAAAGTAAAATATATCTAGTTAACTTTAAAACCCCATTCACATGTAAAGGAGAAAGTCAAGAAAAAGCAACAGTTTACATTTTGCAGAGGTGGGTAATAATGATTCTGAAAGTTAATAAGTTTGTACAGATATCAGTTCCAAACATTTGGATTTCCATTGCCACAACAGAGACGGGGGCTCAATCCAGATGGAGGTTGTGGCTCCTAGCTCCTGTTGCTTGTTTCTATCCCATTATCTTAGTAGAGTCAAAACTAACAACACTATTCAGAGTAGAAAAGGACCTCTGGACTGCTGTGTTGAATCCAAACAGCCTTTGAAATTATTATGGGAGAGATACATACAAGAATTGTGCTGGTTAAATTATGACCGGCATTATGAAGCTAGAGTTCTTACTTTCTTAATTCAAATTTTCACAAGTGTGATATTTTACTGGAAGCTATCACTCTTTGCATGTGTAACTCCAATGCCTTGATTCCCATCATGCCGAGCTTAAATGACTTCTTGCACAAAATACACTGTACCTCATATACATTCCCTGGTACTGGTTTTAGACAAGTTAAAAAACTCTTTGCTGGATAGCCAATTTTCATTGAATTTAAACTTCCCGAAGGGATCCAGATAAAACACTAAGGCAGGGATCTGCAAATCATCACAAATTTGAAATATAAAAGTATTTTGGATGTCCTGGTTAAAATGAAAAAAACAAAGAATATACTGTAGCGTGATTTTTATTCCATATTATGTGTGTCTTTTAAGAACATGGCACTACCTTGCTTTGAATCTTTGACTTTATTAAATCAGCCTAAAAGAAAAGTCAGTTCTTCTGTGAATGCCACTGGATTTTTGTTGCATTTGCAACTGAATGAAACCACCAGCAAATATATGACTTAAAGAAGGTCAAAAATGCGTGCTTCACCTCACATGTGTGAGAGATTGTATGAAGGATGTAATTTTGCTGCATTCTTTTCTAAATCAAAATAACACCCTCTTATATTTCTTAAATGTGTATTAATGGTAAACCTAATTTAAACAATTCAGAAAAGTCCCAGAGGGCCACAAATGGCCTTTAGACCCCACTTTTTACAGAAAAGTTCTCACCGAGTAGTTGCAAATTTTACAGCCATGACAGGCATAAATGGTAATGTGTGAAACAGGTTACAAACCAGATCTGATCAGGGAATTTAATTATGTGGAATTAGTTTCTGTGTCATTTCCCCATTTTGTGGATGATGGGAAGGTTAGTAGCTCTATAAGAAGCCTGGGATGGCACATTGAGCCCTAGGTGGTCCTGGCAGACGAAGAAAACAAACCATTCTGAATCAGGTTTGCTGATCGACTCTCTGCTCTTCTATTTCACTCACTGGTGAGTTTAAATGTTCATTACATATGTAACTTATTTTTCATTAATTTCAGTTTGTATATCAGCATCATCTCATCAC